TGTTAAGATTCAGAAACAAAATTAAAGATGCAGGATTCTTTCTCACAGCAATAATAAGACAGTATACAGTAGATAAGACTCACCTTATAGTTTTTCCAGTACAGTGTGTCTTGTGTGACTTTCTCTCCAAGTTTAGGATAGACTTGGATTTTCGTAGGTTTAAATGAAGCCATTTCTGTGCTGATCAAGAAATACTCTGTCTGGCAAAGTACAGAAAATAAACACATGGATATTAACATATAGTAAGAGACATGGTGCCTCAGCTAGTTCACCTTTTAAATCCCACCAGGTGTAAACATGATAAAGCCTCAACATAATATGTTATTGTTAAAGAAAGTGGAATAAGGAATCAAAAAAACGTGGTAAACTGGATGAAAGGAAGTAATTGTCTTAGCAAATATTGCTTTGATCCACAACCGGCAACAAGAAAGCAACAAATTCAACAACACTGCATTAATGGCAACAGTTTACAGTCACACGTTTTTACCAAACAGCATCAAAAACCAACCAAACTATGCAATCCGCACAGGCTAGGCTAACGAGTTCACTATTTCAGGACAGTCGATATCTCCCGTGAGGCTTATACATAAAGAGCTGAATGCAATGTAAAAAAAAAAAAACAATGTCAACAGTAACTCTTGTCCTAATATCTAAACATAAAGCGACTGGTTTGAAACAGAAGCGGCTCATGAGACCGCTGCTCGGTGAGCCAACGTGCTCGGCGCTTATAGCAGAAGTTAGTTAGCACACAGCGCTTTAGCATTTCCCATTAAACTGCCTCCCGGTGCTGCTCACCTCTGAATGTTAAAGGTCCAGGACTGCCGGGAGTTAGTTTTTTAAGAATGGCGCGTTTAAATTAGATGGTGCCAATGTTGGTTGTCCAAGTAAACAAAAAGTTTCTCATTTTAAAGCGTTATCACGTTGCCTCTCGGTGCAATGGAGGACGCCATGATTACAAGCGTGACAACTTCCGTTATTGATTATGTTTATTGTTCACCGAAAGGAGGCGCAATTTTATCCTTTTTTAATACTTTAAATGGCACTGATGGTGGTTCCAGTATTGTCTTGCTGTTTTTTTTTTTTTTTTTTTTTTTTTAAATAAGCTTGAATATTACTTAGGTTTATTTAGCTTTTTAGAATAAATATATTTCCTTTTTGGTGAAATCTGTGATTTGACACATAAGTTATATGTAACGTTACTATATTAAATAGCAGTTTGTTGCTAATATTGTAACTTAAGTGGCTGTTTAAAAATAAAGCCACCACCGTAAAAATAAAAGAATATGTTATTTTTTTAAAAAGATAATAAAATTATAAATTCCCTACGTCAGTTTTAGAAAGCGGGCTATTTTCTGTGACTACAAAAACCCGACGGCACAGATTTGACAAGAGAAAACAGATAGATAATTAAGATTTGAGCCACATTGAATTGTGATCGATCATTGTGATCGTTGCCTAGCACATCCGGCAAGTTAACGATCATGAGTACGTCACTTCCGGCCTCCACTCCTTTCTCCCTTTTTCCGAGCTGCTATCGACTGTGTGGCCCGCGTGTTTACACTCTCCCAGGTCAGTTCACGTCTCAGGAACCCTTTAAGCGGCCTCAGCCTCATATAATGTTGACGTTGTAACGAAGCAACAGGTCCCCGAGTCACATTACGCGTTAAAACGTAAAGAAAACGCCATTAATACTTGAAGGCTAGCGTCAGCTTGAAGAGGCCTACGCTAGCTGTTTAGCTTAGCTTGTTAAACCTAGCCGGCGGTCCAGTTGTCACAATGTGTCAGAACCCGGGTCGAAATCAGGTCCGCAGTCCCTGAGGCTGGAGGTCTAAGCATGAGCCAACAGCACATCTTCTCTTTAGGGCAGGCTTGGACAAGTAAGCTATAAAAGTCAGAAGCTAATCGGTGTGTCTTAGCTTCAGAGCACCTTAACTTAGGCACTGACTTTAACTATGTGGACACCTCTGTCTCATTCATGCACAACTTGAGTCGAGACTAAAAAGTTTGCAGCTATTTTGGGCGTTGGCAGCTGTGTATTCTTGTTAGCTTGCTGTGCCAAAAAGCAAACGACGGGGGCGATTTGGGGAATTCTATACTTGTTCGGTATTTTCTTAAAATTACAAACTCTATGTTTCCAGTGAACTGTTGAAATAAACCCTTAGGTACAGTTTTATTAACTGCCAATTTAGTCATTACTTGTATATCATAATGCATATGTTGTATCTACCACCAGTCTCATCTCAAGATCAAACTATTAGTGTGCTATTACATCAGTGTAATACTTACATGTGCTGTCCAGCTCTGTATTAATTGAGAAAATAACTGGGAAATTATATGTGTGAGCAGATATGAAATTTGATTATGTGTTGTGTCTTGTGCCAGATGAAGGAGTCGATAATGAACCAGGAGAAGCTCGCCAAACTGCAGGCGCAGGTCCGCATAGGCGGCAAGGTGAGCTGGAGTATATACTGGAAAATGACTTGAATGAAAATGTTTCTTTTCTATGAGCCCTGACATTGCGTTATGGTTTCACATATATCATCATTTTCTCTGCAGGGGTCAGCCCGCAGAAAGAAGAAGGTGGTGCACAGAACAGCTACAGCAGATGACAAGAAGCTGCAGTTCTCCCTCAAGAAACTGGGAGTCAACAACATCTCTGGCATTGAAGAGGTACAGCAACGTCTCTCTGACATGCACAGCAATATGTAGGCAGACGGGTCTTCTAATTGACCTTGATCGTAGATCAGTAATAAAGTAATAAATATAACATGAAACTCAAGCCCAAATGGGACTGGAAAAGTAATCTGATTGTCATTAAATGAAGCTTCTTGATGTCTTTGTTTTGGTGCTCAATCAATTAGTTAAATAAACAACTGGTAAAGGGAAAAGAGCCAAACAAGTATATTTTGTCATATTAGTTTATCTTGATAATTTAAATAGCAGTCAAAGATACAAATGGAAGACTTTTCACCGCTTTGAATTGTGATGAATTCTGTAAGCATGGTGTTGTATCATTGATTGGAGACTAGTTGTTGTCTTGTCAGCTTCTGAAAAAAAATAACAAAAGTGATCAGAAGAATTATGAAGTTTTTTAGTGAATGTTTTTTTTTTATCTATTTGTTGAAAAGGGTATTTGGTAAAGTCTTACTGGCTGTTTAGTCATCCTCTTTCACACTGAAGGCCTCTGCACACCAACCGACGCCGACCGTCGCAGAAAAGCAGTCGGACTGATCAGTACGGCTTCCCGTCTCCTCGACTGGTCAAAAAAATGCCTCCGAACACACCAAACCGACGCCAATGGAGCTGTACGTTCTCGCGCAGTCCGTCGGGGAGGCCGCAAAGTCACCCATAGAACAGCAGGCTTCGCTAATCTGTTGTTGTCGCCCAAAAACAATGAAAACCGGAAAGACGGATCACTGTAGACCTAGTAAACACTAGAGCACGCTGTCGTCAGTCATTGTTTTCATCAGAGGAGTGTTGATATATTCAAGAAGATCGTATTGTCATTACCGCTGAACGGAAAATACGATGCTAATAATAACAAGACACTGGCGTTGGTGTAGTATGTTTGACCATCGACCTTCCGGTTTCTCGTGCACTCACTGATTCGCTAGTCAAGGGCTAGTAACTCCCCAATCAGATTGGTCATTGAGCCGACTGTTAATGTCGAAAAAGCCCAATAATGAACGGACGTCCGTAACTGACGACGGCACGGAACAGCCGAACCGACTCGAGTCAACGACCTTGCCCGACTTCCGACGGCGTCCGACGGCCGATAATCGGGTTGGTGTTCGGAGGCCTTAACCCCTCAAACTCCTCTTCTTCATTTCTTACCCTTTCAATTCTTTTTGTTTTCTACTGTAGGTGAATATGTTCACAAACCAGGGGACAGTGATCCACTTCAATAACCCAAAGGTTCAGGCCTCCTTGGCAGCCAACACCTTTACGATCACAGGGCACGCTGAGAACAAGCAGCTCACAGAGATGCTCCCAGGAATCCTAAACCAGCTGGGAGCAGACAGCCTGACCAGCCTCAGGAGATTAGCAGAGACCCTGCCCAAAACAGGTACCCACAACAGTTGACTGATCTGTTATCATGTATCAGTTGGGGTTTTGTGTGCTGTCTGTTCACAATTTGCTCTTCTTCCTCCTCCTCATAGCTGGAGACATCAAAGCCCCCATGGTTGCTGTTGAAGAGGAGGATGATGAGGTTCCAGGTAAGCAAATCTACACATCTCCTTTTAAAACAAAGGGCTGTGTTAGTTATTTAATGTTCTATAATACTATACTGTAGAACAAGCTGTAGTAGTAGTAGTCGTCATCGTCTATTGCATGGGGCATATATCATCTTTTTAGTTTTGGTAATTAAGTTATACTTTATGCTAAATACATTTTAGGATTGGGGCATTTTCTTATCTTCATCTGTAACCCTCCTTTATCCCTCTTTCCATTTTCAGATCTTGTTGAAAACTTTGATGAGGCCTCAAAGGACGAGGCAAACTAACACTCACCAGCAAATATTTCAAGGCTCCTCCTTACTTCACAGTACTTTGACACAGCAGCATTTTGTAATTGTTCATCTTTGTTATTGCTCTGTGGCAACAAACAAAAGCTGCTTTTTAACCTTGACAACTGGGCAAAAAACAAGTAAAATTGAATTTTAATGGCAACTGTTACCCACTCCTTTGTCTGATTTGTCTCGTTCTGCAGTACAAGTAACATTTATTTAATTCAGTGGAATGTGCAAACCTTTCTCTTTCTCTCGCTGCCTCTCCTGCATTGTGATGCCCACACATCAAGAATATTTTGGTGGAATTAATCATGTAATAAAGATTACATTTAAATTTCTCAATTTATGTCTTTAATGCCCCACCACTTCTGTGCAATATTTAATTGTAGAACACATTTGCTTTGTTGGTTCTCTTATATTCAAGCTCACTGTCGTAGTCCTCTAAATCTTTACAGGTGATTTGTTATTGGAAATCATCGCTAATAGTAAATAGAAGCTTGATAAGAACCTTAAGGTTGCAATTACATGCAGGACATCAAGAGTCCTGTGTAGATGGCCACATTGGTTATATTTCAAATATGTATGTCCATGATACTCAAAGCTGAAAAGAAGGACAAACATTCAGTTCAGATATCAAGTCAGACAGAAAAGTTCAGTATTTGCTGCATGTTTCTTAAATCATTTATGTATTCACACTTTAAAAAGGCACATAACTCCTATTTACATGCTGTATATTGAATCACAGGTGTGACTAAATATTGAGCCAATTATTCTAGAAATTAAAAATTACATTTGTACCAAACAAAATACATGATGCAAAACAAACATCAGGTTGTCATCTAAGTTGTGGCTCAAGATGTAGTTTTTATGTAAATGTACAAATGACCAAAGCTCTGGTGGAAACATTAGCAACACATTACAGGGGCAGTTCATCTCAAAATAAAATACATATTTTCCTTTTTGACTGTAGTAATATTTATCCTTGGTGTGATTTGCTGAGTTTTAAAGATATTGCTAATAGAGATGTCGGCCTTTCTCAAATATAATGGCACCAGATGGCACTATTGATGAAAGCGGCAAAAAATAAATAAATAAAATAAAAAAACTCAGGATAATCCACAGATCTTTATGTGAGCAGCTTCATGTAGGAACTACCTGTCACCGTGCAGAGGGAAGCGTGCATGTACTCATGGATGAGAGGCTTGAGTGCTGAATGTGAACATTAATGGTGTCCTTGGCAGGGTTGTATCTCACCCAGCACCACTGACATAGCTGGAGTTAGTTTGCTGGTGTAGTTTGGTAGAAAGAAGTTCAGTTATCTTAAGAAACCAGGTCATGATTTCTGGAAGAAACATTGTTGCACTCTTTTTCAAGAGTATTTTGTGGTGCTTTGAGAACCACAAGCCCAGTGCCATCTGGTTCTGTTATATTCAAGATAAAGCAGACATCTCTACAGCCGATATCTCCAAAACTCAGCAATCTACATCAAAACAATCTACATGGATAAACAGCAGGTACGAGATAAAATATGTATATTCAATTTGGGGGTGAACTGTCTCTACGTTTTCTAAAGCTCATGCTCTCATTAGGAAGGTTTTACATCAGCACTAAGGAGGCTCTAACTGGCATTACACATGAGTGAGGGTCATCCATTGGTCCCACTTTAACTGTATCTGATGCTCGGTCATACTGAGTCATGCATTTGTTGTTTGTATTTTTGGCATTTCACTTTATTCAGCGTGTTACTTGCATATGAAATGATTTTCATCTTTTATCGTCTCTCTCCAGCTATCACCGATAGAGTGGAGAAAATATATTTTAAAAAAAAGGAGGAACTGAAACCTGAGCCCAACTATTTTTGTTTCTATATAACAGGTTTGACAGAATGTATTGTGAACATGACATAATGATAGTAGAGGGGAAATTCTGCTAAAGTAGTAGTAGTAGAGTAACATATAAAGCAGCAAAAAATCAAATGGATCAGTATGACTTAAGTTTAAATTATAAAGTATCATGTTATTAAGTTAAACTTTTCACATTATAACGGGATAACTTTATTGTTATAACATGAAACTTTTCAACTTTTGGGGTGGCTGGGGATCAGGAGGTAGAGCGGGTCGTCCACTAATCAGAAAGTTGGCGGTTTGACACTTGGTGTCCTCCAGCTGTGTCGCTGTGTCCTTGAGCAAGATACTAAACCCCAAATTGCTTCTGATGCTATGCATCGTTGTGCGAATGTGGATGAATGGATTAGTTTCTGTTTGTGAGGAGCATCTGCCATCATTTTATGAAAGTGTGTGAATAGGTGAATGTGGCATGTAGTGTGCAAGTGCTTTGAATGGTTGGAGAACTAGAAAGGCGCTATACAAGTACAGTCCATTTACCATTTGCCACGTTATAATGTGAAAACTTTAAGGTCCAGAGTGTAACATTTAAGACATGCAATATAATATTCATAGGTATGTTTTCATTAGTGTATAATCACCTGAATGTAGGAATCGCTGTGTTTTTGTTACCTTAGAAGGACCTTTTTTTATCTGCATACACTGTGGGTCGCCTTTTATGGAGTACACCACGTTGAAATGGATAAACCATACACACTTCACAGCCCCTTTTTATTCTCTGGTTGTCAAATACAGACTGGAGAAGTGTTCACTTAGTTGTAATCTGCAACTTCATCGCTAGATGGCACCAAATCACACTGTTCCTTTAAAGCACCAAATACTAACACTGCAAGGAGTTGTTCTCCAATGAACGTGTTTTTGACACATTACAGGATGCTTTACGTATGTGTGAAGATTAACACATTTTGTTCATGTGTTTTTTTCGATTGTGATCTTAATGTCATAGACATTTGGATTGCCCCATACAAAGTCATGGGCAGGGAAAGTCCTGGTGTCTGTCCCTTGCTCTTTTCCCATTTGGGTGTGTGGGTGTATGTGTGTGCATAATTTAAAGCATCAGTGTCCCCACAAAGCTCTTAGAATGGGGGAAAACCTCTGAAAGGACTATATTTTTGCTGGTCACCTCTGTGGTCAAAATAATGCTGATAATCCTGGATTTAGGTCCAGGGTTAAGGGTCAGGGAATTGATTTAGGATCAGGGAAATATGATAATTTAGATAAAAATACAGAAGTGCAGACTTTTTACTGTAAATATATCCTATACACAATCTCATTTGTATGGCTGAAAGTGATGATTTTTTCATTACTGATGAATCTGACAATCAGTTTTTTAATCAATTGACAAATCGTTTGATCTATAATGTGATAAATGTCCCTCACAATCTCCCAAAGCCACCAACAACCCAAAAGCCAAAAATGTGTCATTCACTGTTATTGTAGACAAAAAACAGCAAATATTCACATTTGACAAGCAGTAACCAGTGATTTCTTTTGGCTTTTTAGTTTTAAAAAATGATTTAATGACTGGAAAAACAGAGAAAAAGAAGACCTCTAGAGCAAATAGACTATCAATAATGTCTTTGTATAAATCCAATGGTATGATATATGTGTACTTCATCTGTATGTGTTCATTTGTCAGTATGCGTGTGTGTGTGGGTGTGCATCTGTGTGTCCGTTTGTGTGATTCCAGGTTTGTTAATCAGATACCGTATATCTCAGATGCTGTTCAGTTTAAAAGCTGAGGGCAACCCCCCACACCACCACGCACACTTCTTATCTTCATCTCTCAGTCCCTTTCTTTCGAAACTCACTTAGTCTGTTTACTAAAATTTGACTTGCAAAACAAGTATACAGAGGAAATGCTCTATCCACCCCCTCTGTCAATAGCCTCTTATCTCTTTGCTATGTGTATAGTTCAGTTTCTGTCTCACCTCTCCAATGTGCTAATGCTAGTGATGATGATACATGCGGTGTGCAAGCATATAAATATGATGGTCAGTGGGCAGTTAGAGCATACCATCATCAGGATTACTACAACTGAACTTCGATTACTACAGCTTCACTTCAGTTTATCTTCACTGAAATGGTAAGAAATAACTGCTGTAAATCAGTGCAGGGGATTAGATACTTGAACATATAATATAAATATATATAATAATAATTTCTCAATTGAAGATTCATGTATAATTGCTTAGTTTTTAATGCAAGAATGATTCATTTTTAACAATCTTCCTCTTGCTTTTTCTCAGAAGACTTTGTCACTGTGGATGTTTGGGCTTTTGTTCATCAGCCTTACAGGAGCACATGGACTCAACAACTTTCCAGAAAACTGTACGTGTTATTTATGGTCCACATGTGTTTTCTAACACTGATTTATCTTTTTTTTTCTTGAGGAGTTCTGAATCTGTCTTGACATGTCAATGACTGACCTGTCTGTCTGTATCTATGTTTGTGTAGTTGTGGTGGCAAAAACAAATGATGATGTCATACTGACCTGCGGACCAAAGGCTGATGGAGACGTCACATGGAAGTTTCGCATGTTTCCCAGTGAAGAGATGGAGGATGTTGATTCTGAGGGCAATATCCAGCAGGAAGGTCAAAATCTGAAAGTGTCTGAAGTAGGTACGCCCATGTTGGGAGAATACAGCTGCTGGAGAGGAGAAGAGAAATTATCAGCAACCTATCTGCTGCTGGAGGATGAGGAGGAAGAGCAGTTTGGTGAGATATTTTGAATTTCTTCTACTGTTCATATGCTGTAAAAGACAGGAATCTCTCAGAAAAGTCTTCAAACTCTCTTTATGTCTGAAATATTTCTTTCTCTAGAGAATGAGACTGAAAGTTAGCACATCCTGAATCATTCCTTGAAGCACTTGAATGTCTCACATTAAGTAATATTTTCTTCATTTTGTGGTGTGACAAAGTCCAAACAGTTTCCATTAAACTTGTATTCACCCACATTGTGTATCTTTATAGATTCTTTAATCAGATGTCGGGCAAAGTCATATGACTGTAACTTCAGTTGTAAGTGGACCCGTGATGGATACACAGCAGTGCGCCTCGGATTGGGCCATGAATGGTAAAGAAAAAAAAAGTTATAGTGAAGAGGCCAAAATGAGTTTGTAATAGGGTGTAAAGTGTCAGTTTTACTGCTTGCCTCCGTAGCAGTGAAGGTGGGAAGTCATGTCACTGGGTCAGCAGCACTGAACAGCTCCAGGGCGGGGGATTCCAGTTTGAACTGTCCCACTCCCTCTCACCCTATGCAGAGGAAAGCACCATGCTTGAACTCACCGCTGAGGCCATCAATGACCTCTCCATTCTCCGGAGAACCAAGAGATTTTATCTCAGAGACATCGGTAAGCTAAGTGAAACTGAGCTACATTACAGGATTTCAGCAGAATATTATCAAGATTAAACAGTAAACAGCCGCTGCTCATCAGTAAATCCATTTTGTGAATAAATGTGATTATTTCAGCCAAGTATTTGTTCATTTCCATATATACTGTAATTATTCCTTACCATCTTCTTCTGTCTAGTTCAACCCGATAGTCCCCGGATTGTCAAGTGTCAGGAGATGGACCAGGAACTGAACGTGACCATTGATCCACCGTCCACCTGGTCGACTCCTTACAGCTTCTTCAGTCTGGAGCATGAGATTGAATATGAGTTGAAAGATGATGGCCAGGTACATGCAAGCTCGCACTGAACCAAAAGTCTGGTGATCTCTCTGTGTCTGTCATGTCATTCTAACTGTGCGTCCTGTCTTTCTGACTTTAGACTGGACGTTCATCATCATCTGCCCTGATACCCAAGAAGATCAGCAAGCTGAGGGTTCGCTCCAGAGACTCGCTGGTGCTCTCCACCTGGAGCCAGTGGACTCCCTGGAAAAATGTAACCTACTGACATTATTTGAAGCCGAAACTGTCTGCTTCTGCTCTCTCTGTTCTTTCATGTCTAAAGTGTCCTCTCACATCCTAGCCTACCGTTTCTCACTATGTTTTTGGCTGTCACACACTGATGGCGAAGAGATAACACAGCACTCACCAGAACCTCAGCAAAGAGTCAAGAGTTTAATTTGATGATAGAAGAGCAGTACAGCACACTTTTATTATTCTTTTTTATTGATGGCTCAATTCAAACTATTTAATTGTGCATATATTTATTATTTATTTACACACAAAAACACCATTATAGACATACTGTGATAAAAAAAAATTGAAAGAAAGTCTTTCTTGCTAACAAAAGCACTGCTAGAGGTCCTTGTGAGGACTAAACTCACTGTTTATTAGAATACAGACATTTCTGTGATTCAATATAAAATTATGTCTACCAGCAAAAACAATGTTGGGGTTTCATGGGACCACATCTTATAAAATGGGTCTCTGCAGTTTTGTCCATTTAAGGATCCTTTCACACTAAAATCTAATGACACCTATATAATACATAATTTACCATGAATCAGAAGTTTACTGGTTCAGTATGCACTAAACACAGACCTTTACACATTGTGTTTCTTGTCCCTGTTATTTCTGTAGTGTGTTGGTGTTTCTGTGTATTTTGGTGGTTTGTGCTGTGCAGAATAAGTCGCTATTAAAATAGCTTTGTGCTTCCTTCCTTATTATACATGTTCCTTTTTCATTTGAGTTTTGCTCATGTGACTGATGAGTAGAAACCCCCTTTTTAATGTAATGATGCAAACCCACAGTTATGTATTTTCTGTACACATGGCTGGACAAAATATTAGAAACTTAAGCTGCTGAGTGTGTGAACTGCATGTTCCTTTAGAGTGTGCCTTGAATTTTAATTGAGTTAGGGTCAAAGATTTTTTAGGTTTGAAGAGAATAAATAATGGAGCTTGTTTTAAAGAAATAATTTAAGAAGGAAAAGCCATTATACACTAAAAATGAGAGAGAAACTTAGTTAAACTATTATGTGACAATTATAACGGGTTTCTGATTTTATCATGACTATACATTTACTGGTAAACAAGTGGCTCTTTATTAAAGACCAGAAGCTATTTGACTGTTTTTAGTTGGTAATGAAGAAGCAATAGTATTGTAGTCTTTCAGCAATGAATACTTTATTTGATACTATTACCTACATTAGGTAGTAAGGTAGAATCTATTGCATAGAATAATCTAACATTTATTTTAAATGAGAGGAACTAATAAAGACAGTAAAGA